AAAGGCGCTATATAAGTACATGCCATTTACCATTTACCATTTGAGATATCAAAAAAGTACTCCAGAGTGTTGTTCAGCATGGGGGTGAGTAGAAAATGAAGGCTAATCATGTTTTGGGTGTACTATTCCTTTAACTACATGCAGAAGCAGGTGGATAAGATAAGTGATAAGGAGCAACCGGGCAGAGTTAGACAGGTGAATGGAAAAAGCAATTAAGCCAGCCATCAGTGCCAAGATCTTTACATACTACAGTCATGGTTATGTTACATCTCTATAAGCTTGAACTATGCGTAGATGTATAGATTGGATGAAGGCTTTTAGGACTCACCTATAGGAGAAATCCAATAGAAAATAGCTTAACTACCAACTTCTGTCAATGTTGGAGATTTGTATCATCTAATTGCTTTCATGCTAAATGATGTCATTCTCAGTCATCTAGAGAGAAGCAAATGCCTAAAGAGAGGAAGAACTGACTTCTCTTGTTTTCTAATGGCTACACTTGTGTGAAAATATTAGCCTCATCACGTTAGCCTGAATAATCACAGCAATAGTGCCATAAATGCAACTAATGGCTCCATAGACTGCTGGAGACAAGAGGGAGAAGATGGATGGATGGATGGATGGATGGATGGACGGACGGACGGACGGACGGACGGACGGACGGACGGGCGGACGGACGGACGGACGGACGGATTATCCACATGAAATAAGTTAATGGATTTAATTTCTTATTCTAAACATAAATGATCTTATTTCCATTCAATTTCTAACCTACCTGCTCAAATCAATGGAAAATACCCTGGCAGACGCATCAGTTCTTGATGCAACCATTTTGGCTTGGAGTCCTGGCCTTAAGACCTTTGGTCTCACACCTCTCTCTTAACACCCTTATATTTTAGCACAAGATGAGAATATTAAAAATAAAGAAAGCATTTTTGAAAGCTTTTTAAAACATACATTAAGAATGACATTTGATAATAATCGATGGCAACAACAGCTACTATCTAGTAGCAGTAATGGCTAATGAGTGTTTCACTTCTTGTTTGCTGTTATAGAGGAATTTATCCCAATTCTTTTTTGCAAGAAGGGGATTTCAAGGATCCTTGAATATCATTCATACCACAATAGGTGCTATAAATCTGTTTTGATACACTAGTTTCAACATCATAATCAAAACAATAGACCTTATTTTCCAGAACACTCTGGCACAGGAAGACCTTACATCACCCCACAGTGGCCTAAACCAGAGGGAGGTAACCCAGCTAACCAGCCATCAAATACTTTGACAATACAATCAGCATATTTCACTAATTGTGGATGAAAAATCCCCCGATGTGCCTCTCATTGACGCAGTCTCCAGTTTACGGAGTCCAATAGTCCAATTTCTTTTGAGACATAATGTTGCTGTGTTTGCAAGAACTCTTCAGTTCAGTAATTGGATGGCTGTGTAGATGGGTAAAAAGATGAGCTGCAGCAGCAAAATGAGGTTCATTCAGTCTGCTGAAATCAGGGGGTAGACATTGTGTGACATATTGCTGCCCTATTTCTAACTTTGTCAATTTGTTTACATTTCAAAACCATTGAAGGTATTACCTTAACTACAGATGTCTCAGGCTGAGGTGTTTATTTCTAATCCTAATATAACTCTCTAGTGGGCTAATATGCAAGTTTCTTTTTTAGCAGGAAAGAACTGGAGGTTCATTTTATATCATACAGTTATAAAGGGAATCCTTTTTCTCCTATTGTCTGTTTACAATAGGCTTTTTTAACCTCTGGGGTTCTCCATGGTTCTGTACTTGGGTAACTCTTATTTTCATTTATATTTTTTTATAAATCAAGCTTTATTCAGCCTTCATTGGTATCTCTTAATTCATAATAGCGTATTTCCCTGCACATGAATTTTGAACACAGGTTTACAAAGTCCTGTGTTTTGAGCTTGAAACACCATTTACAATTTTAACTCAACTCCGGGATAACATGTAAAGCAACTTTCTCTTCTTGTTCTTTCAGTCAAATAGATCAATGAAGTTTTAGCACATCTTATTTCAAATATCTCAGTTTTATTTTGTATCCTTACTCTATTTTAAATTGAACCTACAACAAAAATATTTCACAAAAACTACCGGGATCTTTCACAAATCTTTCATTCTTCTCCAGATGTCACGCTAAAAGACTGCTTTCCTACTAAATGATCCTCACATCATTCTTTCTTCATGATTCCTTCAGCCTTAACAACAACGAACATCCCCACAGCATGACGCTCACACCACCATGCTTTAGTGTGGAGACAATGTTCTTTGGTTATAAACCCCTTCCTTCTTCCTCCAAACAAAAGCCACATTTTTTCTGGCCAAAAAGCTCTGTGTTTTGATCTGACCAAATAACCAGTTAGCATAACCGTTTTCCAAACTGTCCTTAGCATACTTTAGCTTGGCTTAATGGAGATTTTTTTCTATAAAGGTGGAATATATCTTCTCTTTAATCTATGTAGTCCATCTAGTCCATCTATTGAATTTTATTTGTCTCACACTGGAGAAACACTGGAGAAATGTACCTCTGCATTTAACCCATCCCCTTGGGGAGCAGTGTGGGG